CCAACTCACTGACAACAATGTCCCACTCAGCTCCTGACAACCAATGACATCAGTGAGCTGGGAGGGATGTCATCCAAAGCATTCCATCATGCATAGAACTCTGCCTGGAGTTCAGTTTTAAATGAGCACAACTCCCCTTTAGGTATGGAATATTGGTCAGAAGCTCCTGCTTTGTTGACATTATAGATTAGAAAACTGGAAGGATGCTAAATAATTGCTGGGATGGAGGAGTGGGGGGGGCGGGGCTGTGCTGCTGCTTCATTGCTGGGAGGGGGGGAACAGGGACAGCTGAGATGCTCAGCCACAGCTGGGAGGGAGGATCAGGGGGAGCTGAGCTGCTGAGTCACAACTGGGAGGGGGATAGTGGGGAAGCTGAGCTGCGGAGTCACTGCTGGGAGGAGGAGAAGGAAGCTGAGCTGCTCAGCCACAACTGGGAGGGGGGAACAGGGGGAGCTGAGCTGCTGAGTCACTGCTGGAAGTAGAAGCAGGACAACCTGAGCTGCTGAGTCTCTGCTGGAAGCTGGAGCAAAAGGAGCTGAACTGGTCGGAGAACTAGTTGAACATTTTCAGTGCTTTTGCTATGAACTGTGATGATTAATTACTCCACAGTACCTGCTGCTCCAGAGGTCAGTGAGGGCTTATTTTAAAGCTCATTTACTAGTTGTTAAAACTATATAAATATTCGAATGCCAAAAGCCTGAACACAGTTACACTTTAGATTTACCTTTACTTACCATGCAAAGCTCCTCAAACTGAACACGCCAGGTGAAGAAGTGACTTTTTCAGTGGGTACCTCTATAATCTACAGTATCTTATACAATCCGACAACGAAGTACAAGTGGAAAGTCTAATATCTTCGTAGACTCGTTGCGTTCTCAGATTCACAACCACTGCACTATGACTGGTGTACTGAATGAGATTGAAGGTGTAAAATAAAGAGAAACTAGTTATCTATCCAGCATATTTTTGGACTGTGGGAGGAAACCGTAGCTCCCAAAGGAGGGCCACTCAAACACAGGTAGAACATGCAAACTACATGCAGACAGAGTCCTTGTAAGATCCAACCAGGGCCACAGCGTTTCAAGGCAACAAAGCTGACCATTCTGCTACAGGACAAAAGGGAAATCCTGAAAGTCCAACATTTCCTGGGTCATGAATTGAACACAACGCAACCTTTATAAGAGATATCTTCATCAATGGGCAAATCAGACTGATATGGACAATCATGGTTACCAAATGTCCATGTCATGTTGGGGACAATGGAAGTGGTAATATGAGACTGCAGGATTACCTCTTCCATCCTGGTCACTTCATGCCTAACTTGATCCTGGGCATGAATGCTTGGGATGGCCCATACACTGTAGATTATTATCCCAGTAGGTCAAAAACAACATTTGCTGACTCCGAGCCTGCAGCCCCTGTATGGCCAACTTTTACTGTTCTGTTGAGCCAGCACTAAGATACATTGCATCATCCAGTCCTGTTCGTGCAGGTACTAAATAAGGCGTTGCAATGGTTAAAACAAGGAGCTTTCCATTTCTCCACTCTGTGACTTTAAGCACAAGGGAACATCTGTTTATGTCACCTGTGTCACTGGATGTGTGCTGTGTCCCCAAACCCCTTGTGGATTCAGCCCTGATGCAATTTTAGGAAACAAAGCATTACAATCCTTAGGGAGCAAGAGACGGTGAAACTAGCGCCCACAATGCATTGCAGAGGATGGGCTCCGCTTTGATTATGTCATACAGAAAACAATTATTCAATCAACGTCTCTATGAGTTATAGGACATATGTGAAGATTGCAGAGGGGTTCTGGAAGGGAGGGAGGCCACTGTGGGGATGGGGTCTGTAGTACTGGCTATGCTGAGGATCAAAGCTTGCAGTAAAAAGATTAACTGAATTGTTATTGGTCCCTGGCAATGAAGGATCAGAACACACCACCAGTTATGGTTTGAAGACCCTACATTACTAATCATTTCAATGGAAGCTTTCCAGTTTCTGAGAATCTAAACTTGCAGTAAATAGATTAAATAAAAGAAGTTTTAATATATTTATACTTTTACTTTATTCATGTTTTATGTGTATCTCGTGTATGTCTCCACAACACTTTATAGAGTGCATTGCTCCCCAGCAATGAAGGATCAGAACAACCCACCAGTTATGGTTTGAAGACCCTACACTATTACCATTTCAATGGAAGCCTTCCAGTTTCTGAGAATCTAAACTTGCAGTACAAAGTCTAAATGAAAAAAGTTTTAATATATTTATACTTTTACTTTATTCATGTTTTATGTGTATCTCCTACATATCTTCACAACCATTTATAGAGTTCATTGGTCCTTGGCAGTGAAGGACCAGAACTCGCCACCAATTATGATTTGAAGACCATACATTACTATCATTTCAATGGAAGCCTTCCGGTTTCTCTGAAACGAATGTCTTAAAATAAATGTAAAGCAAACCATGAACTGCGTTTAATGTCTGTGAAATATACAAAATAAGCTGTGGCAGTGTTGTCACCCTACCATGCTCATACCTGTATTGGGACTACAGGATGCCCTATCAACACATAGGTCCTGCAGAGTCCCATTGTCTGCCTGCCCCAAGTCCTTGAGACAGGAGCGATGTCACCTGGGCACCCTAAGTCACTTAAAGCAATTGGATTCATGTCTGCTTTATTACTATACTTCTTAAACTTCTGATATTTTATCTTTGGTTGAGTGCTGGTGTGTTCTTTTATCATCCAGGGTCAAGTTTTTTTCGAGTGAAGTTTCTGGAGTGACCCCCTACCACAACTATTACAATGTCAGGCAAGGAAGTCTCACAACTTCTGCTTCCTTCTCCATAAGGAAAGTAAGGAGAACCCAGCTGTAAGTTTTCCCTTTTCATAAAGAAAAATAAAGAGGGGATCTAGCTGAAAGCTACTTTCCATTATGGTAGTAGGAGGTGGGTGGGCCAAGATAATGCTGCTGACAGGTGATGAAGCCAAAAGAGCATTTATGAGGTCAGGCACAGATGTTGGATGAGAAGATCTGGCTTGCAATTGGCATTCCAAGATGTTCAGTAGGGTTGAGGTCGGGGCTCTGAACAGACCACCCAAGTTCTTCCACAACAAACTAATCAACCGTGGATCTGAATATGTACACAGGATACAGTCATACTGGAACATGGAAGGGTCTTCTCTAAACTGTAATCACAATTGTCTAAAGTTTTTTTGTTCAGGAAAGTCTTGAACTCAATAATCTGGATGAGTGTCCACACACTTATCCAGATAGTAGGTGTGATGGGTCAGGTGGTCACAAACTTTTGGGCATATTATGCATTACTGAAGACCTCTTCGTATCACCCCTCTACCACCCAGATATCAGAGTTTTAGGCATCCAACCCAGCTATGACAGCTAGGGCTGACTGGTGGGATGGTAGCATAGGGTTGTACTTACTCTCCCCATATCCCAAAAGTTGGGCTGTATTGGAGGACTGAAGTAGCACCTAGAAAAAGGTTTACTAGGTGCACTTTGTGACTTATGGTGCATGCGCACAACATCAATATTATACATTTTTCTCATGTATAGGTTTGCTGCAAGACTAAACCATATAGGAGAAGACTGATAACAGTACATCCGGGTTAACCTCTCGTAGGCAGTCACCTCGTTTGTAACACAATTATTTCAACATGCCACAAATGAGACATTTGTCAACACGGGCTTATTCTTTAAGCTATTGAGTGATTATAACTCTCCTGTGTACTTCTGGCCTTGCCGTTCTTTTGCTTTCTTCTTATCAATGTCTCTATACCTCCTTCTATCCGTAAAATCCCTTCTTATAGGTCCCTTGTTTTTTTTATCTTCCTAGATCAGTCATGAAAGCAGATAGTAAGTAGCGGTGGCCTCTCTATTCCCTGGCACTAACATGCACAGAATGAAAATGTCTGTCTAAACATCAATTTAATTGGAAAAGCCTTGTCCGTACCCCGGCATATTGACCCAGTGCGCGCGGGAGAGACGGGGGAAGCGAGAGACGAGGAAGGGGGGGGTGATCTAAAAGAGACAGAGAGTGTTAGGCATTATTTTCAGAAGGATTATACGGGGTTTATAGCTGCTACCTGTTTACAAGCCTGTTCATGGGAGCGTTCAACGAAAATCTGCTTTTATGCGCATTTGTAGTGCTGC